TCTCTCTCTCTCTCTCTCTCTCTCTCTCTCTCTCTCTCTCTCTCTCTCTCTCGCCATCGTGCATCTGCTCGATTCTCCTTCGCCTGCGAGTGTATTCTGTGCCCGCGCCGGGAGGGAGGTATAATCTACGCACCCCCGCCGCATGTGCTTTACCGCGATCCCGATATTTTGGGGTCCGAAGCCAAGCTGCAAAGATACACGCAAGCTTCGCTGGGGCACGGGCGACAAGCGAGCGTCGGCCGACCTGTATTTGCTCAACACTCCGGTTGTCATCATGTGTGCGATTTCCTTGCCCGTGATGACCCTCCTCCATGCCCTGAAAACCTGGTGATGGAACACATTTCCATGGTGAGGGGATGTGTAGACAACGGCATATCTCGACTCTGTGAAACTTGCGCGTGTCTCCATCGTACTGATGTATGTAGCTGCCGATGCAACCTCCAGTGTCCTTCGCTCCAGTTCAGGAATCTGTACAGTGCATATTCTGCTTCCAGAAGGCTTGCTATCGTTGCAGCGTTTACTCATGACACGTGGTGCGCGTGAAAACTTTGATACCTTAGGATCAGCTGTGGCGGATACAAACATGCGCTTTGTAAAGTGTACATGTAGTGTTCCTGATAATGTTGGCCCCACTGTTTGTTCGACGAAAGACAAAGAGGATACGAGTTCCCTTACACCATCATAGTCTAAGTCTCTATGGCCAACTACTCCGCCTGCTTCACAGGAGACTACTGACTGTACATCTCCTTCGATGCGACGTAATTTCGGACTTTGCATCCACAGACTTTAGGGTAGGTGGCTTGTGACCGTGTCAGTTGGACCAGTATGGACATTAGGAGGTATTGAGCGGAAACCGGAACGGTTTTAAACGTGAAGACAACATCAGCAACAACAACACCAAGACCTTCGGTAGACCGGCCTTCCCACCAAAAGAAGCGTGCTGTTCTTTCTTTCAAACTGGATATGGTTGGCGTCCTGTGCGCGCAACGACGCTCGCTAAAGGTTCCCCACGCCAGGTAATTCGCACCAGCAGAGGAATCGTCACCAGCAACAGTTTTCGGTCAAGCCTCAGCAGCCTGAAGGCGGGACCACCGACGAGGCAACATCGTCCCGCAGGTCAACACCCGCACCAATGCCGGTCGAAAAGGCACCAACACAAGCCGGTGACAACGGCCAGCAACTCGCAGCAAAAGCCACCATGGGCGACGATCAAGGCCACCGCGATGAACACGGCAGCGATCAGAACCACCAGCATCAGGAGAAGGATTGGGGCGATGACGAGGAGCAACAAGANGAGGAGGAGGAGGAGGAGGAGAAGGAGGAGGAGGAGGAGCAGCAGCAACGGCAGCAGCTTCAGGTGCTGGTGACGGAGACTGTCCAGCAGCTGGAGCGGGAGCGGCTCGAGGAGGAGGAGCGAGAGGAACGACTCCTTGCTCTGAGAAACCTCCCCCCTGAGGAGTACCTCCAGCAGACCGGGGTGTCCGGTGCCATGGACGAGGCGTTGGGCGTCGTGGTGGCGCTGCGGCCGGCGAGTCCCCTGGGCCTTTTCTCTGACATGTGAGGCGACACCAACTACTGCTGAAGAGCTTTCCCAAAACAACCCCCTGTGACCCTTGGTCGCTAGAAGGGGTTGCAGGGATACCAACTAGACCACCGGGGCGAAGGGAATCAATCGCGGAAGGGGGAGGGAGTGGGCGATTCTGTTGTTTGTGACCATGGTACAAGGCCGTTTGGTTTTTCGTGTGTTCTAGGGGGCGAGGCAACCTATGTAACTTCCTCGCCATGGTCAAAGCGAAGGAAGGAAGCAGCGTGTATTTTGCGGGAATGCACAAGCCTTGCTCGTAACGGTGTTGGGGTGTCCGCTTTGGGTTACGACATGTCCGCATGAGGTTGACTCACGGCCCCCAGCAGGCCGCTTCGCGTTTCCGTACGCCCTCCCAATCCCTAGAAAGCGAGGACTATTGTCCCATCCCTGGGCCGATAGCAGGTCGAAACGAACGGGTTGTTCCTTGTGTCCGTATTTGAAAGGGTTAGCCCAAGAGCTGCTCCCCACACAGGATTAAAGCTTGACGAGTGGTCTTATAGCAATTCGTTAAACAACAGCCATTCCACTATTCTTCCTGCTGCTGCTATTGCACCGTCTTGCGATCCCTCGTGCGTGCTATCTCTCACCCCAACATGCTGCAACAAGAGCCAAAGGCGGCCTGCACACGCCTCCCCCCCGCGCACCCGGAAAAACCCGGCAAAGAAAAAAAAGAAATACGCAGGAATACCGATTCTTGAAATGGTTGAAAGCTTCCTTGTTTTCACTTTACTTTTCTGCGCCTCCCCCCCCCCGGAATCACGCGCAGCATGCGAGACCACGCACGGAACGCGCACCCAGCCGTGCGGCAGGCAAAGCTTCTGAGGTACGTGGTCGGGCCGTGGGCGAGGAGGAATGCGGCAGCAGCGGCAGCAGCCGCGGCGGCGGCCGGCGCGGTTGGCGAAGGCGTCGACGGTGTCGGAGGAGATCGATGCCCCGGTGAGGACGGAGGCCTGGCCCAGTATTTAGTTGTGATGCTGCTGCCGCTTTCACCACTGGGTGGACAGCAGTACCGGAAGTTTGTCGCTCGGCGTGGTTCTGAACGCCGTGTTGGCTCTTGGCCCCCCCTCCCACACCACCCTTCTTCCGTTCTGTTGTTGGCGTCCAACTTTGTCACAAACCCAACCTGTTGTGGTTCTACCAAATAGGAGAGTGATTATGCACCCTCGTCTATGTAAGTCAAATGCACGTCGAAAAGCAAAAGACTGCCCCTTCCGGCGATCCCCCCCCCCGAAAACAGACACCTCGATACACGCATCAAATTGAAGGTTTTGAAGAGCATAATCGTACCGCCGCTAGAGTACGCCGGAAAAGTATGGGAAGGAAATAAGAAGGTAGTGAAAGAACTCGAGGCGGCGCAGATGAAAGCAGCGAAAA